CCCTCAGCAGTGTATTTCAATCTGTCTGTCTGTTCCCCACTCTGTCTCTGGTGAATCCTCTCACCCTCCGCACCTCTGGCCTGTACCCCAGTTCTTGTATGCATAAATAAATGAATCGTTTAAATCTATATATATTTTACTTTTGTTAATAATGAATAATTACAAAAATCCAAGATCAATACATTACATATTACCATTATAATTTGTAATATAACCTACTTTCCTTTTTACTCAGTTTCCCCTCTTCCACTAAAGATACTCAGTTACTTCTGGCTCTACATTTCTAAACAGTACACATCAACTCCTTTGCTCTCTCTTGAGCTATTGGTTTCCTCAATATCCCCATTCTTGTTACTGACACCTGTTTTCTCTTGTCCATAATACGAGATTAGTCATTTTCATCCACTTCCCTTTCTCTAACTTCCCTTTCTCAATTCCCACTCCCACCACAATCCTAATAATCAAGTTCTTAGGGTTTCACCCAAGTATTATACCCAAGTTTGCCCAACTCATGGCCTTGTTATACCAATCAAATCTCAAGCTCACATCCCCATGTCACTAGATTACTCAAAAAACCTTCTCTGGCTTCCTAATGGTTAGCAGAAATGCTAAGTCCCAAGTTAACCTTCTAATTTTTTCATCCACACCAAGGCAGAGTCTTTGGCACAGGGCTGAAGTTCAATAAACATTTGAAGAATGAGTAAGAATTCTTCAACAGGAGAGGACGTTTGCTTCCAAAACCATCTCCAGATCTTCTCTGGAATGCTGTATTCTTCCCTGGATGCCAGTCCAGTCTCCTGTTCCCCACACATCTCCAGCTTCCACTATGTTTAAAGACTCCTCTAGTTACTTCTCCAAAGAACCTTCTCTGATCACCTCACCCCACCACCAAGAGGATCGATCCCTCTTTTCCATTTCTTGTTTGTATTAGCCACACATGCAGATCCTGGGATTAGGTTGATTTTCTTTTTCACCTGTCATGTGCATGTAAACCTAGTCTCCTATATAAAATCTGAGCTCCTTTAAGACAAGGTTATTTCTTGTATTTCTCTTGCACATCCTACTCATCATAGAGTATCAAGATATTTTATTTAAACTGCAAGCTCTCAAAAGACACCTTTTAAATGAATATGAAGCAACACCAAAAGCATGATGCAGACACACAAAAAACATACCAATTTAGGTCATAAATGAAACTGACTACCAAAGACTTTAACTTCCACATCCAGGATAAACATTACCCTCCAATTATTATAAGAACGGCTTGCATAATGAAATTCAAGTATCCTTGGCTGGAAACAGGAATGTTTTACACCACGTCTCACCCTACCTACCATTCCAGTACCATCACCTGTGATTCCAGGTTCCAGGATGCCCCTATGACCAGCTAGTCCCTCCACACACCTGGTACTTTGTCAGTTCATTGCTTCACCTATACAGTTTTCTTGGCCTGGGATCATCTTCCTTTCACCCAAAACCTTCCCCTAACTTCTCCATCTGATAAATACCTATTCATTGTCAAGTCCAGCTTAACATTACCACTTCTCTGTAATTTTAATGACCCTCTCCAGGAAGATGAAATTAGTCCCACATCATCTTCCTGCCAAGCTATATAACGCTTACCAACCAAACTATGTTTTTTTGTTGTTGTTGTTGTTGTTTGTTTTACAATGACTTACAAATGAAGTAAGATACTTAAGGGCAATAACCATGATTTAAGCATCTTTATACCTCCTATACTGAACACTGTACAAAACACACTATAACAACTTTGAAAATAGTGGGAATGGGGGAGAGAGGAATTGGCTTTAACTCTTCTCAAAAGCATCAATTAAAAAAAGCCAGAATTAGAACCATTTTATCCCTCCAGGACCCTTCTTCCCTTATCTGTCATGGATGCTCAGTTTCTCTTTCCTGCTCCCAGGACATGGGTGCAAAGGGCATAATGATGCTGCTCTGCAATGCCCCCAAACTACAAAGAACCCTTGCTAACTACTTTAGCACAGATCAAGTTAGGATATTTATTAGGGAGAAAAATCAAGTCAGAAAGAAGTCACAGAGAATCAGCAAAGTAGTCAGGTTTACAGAGTGCTTACTGCTGATCCATACTTAACTAAAAAGCCCAGCCACCGCAGAGACGTGCCTGGCACAGCCCCCACGGCGCCTCCTTCCCTATTCTTCCCCCACCACAACACCGTCTGCGGTAGATGGTAAACAAGAGATCCTCAGCAAGCGGAGCCAAGGTGGATTTGTGTGGGCACCAAACTATTCATGCCTGATGAGATCACCAGAACCTTTGCCAGATCCACAATCCCTTCTAGAAACTGCTGATCACTATTTTCTTTGGGGACGTTTTCCCATACACCATCCCCTGGAACTCTAAGTCACATGGGACTCTCACTCAGAAGCCAAATAGTTGTAGCCACACCAAGCAAAGACAGCACTTCTGTATCTGGTCCCGAAGGTTTCCTCTCAGGATTCAGGCCCACATACACAGGAACTCTGCGGCTGGCTCTCCAGAACTCCGCATGGAACTCTTTCTCTCCCTAGGTGTACCTGACCAATCCAGTTCACCCTAGTATAGATATGCCTGAGACAGAGAGTGGATGTAGCTTCTGGAAAAGACACATTATTCCAATAGTCTTAACTTCTTCTCTCCAGCCATATGGGCTTCAAAAGGTGGACACAGCTTTTACCAGGCACCTTTCTAATAGATCACCACAAAAGACCAGTAAGTATCCAAGATGTACATCTATTGAGAACTCTAAGGTGTTTCCATTTCTTGTCAGAGGGATGCCTGCAAGTATTGTTCGCCTAGAAAAGCAGAAGATAACAGACAGGTCCTAGGTTCCAGGAGTGATTTAATATTTTGTTAGCTCATGTTAAGAACTCTACATATGTTCTAGGTTCTTTGACCACCCACTCAGGTGCTCTTCTGCTGGTGTCTTACGATATAGAGCTTATATATATGTACTAAAAATTTCTTTGGTTCCTTCATCCACACCTCATCCCAATCACAGTGGCCCCTCATGCACAGAAGACACTAGTCTAGGTAAGAAACAAATGTTTCTCTATTTTCTGGATTTTCATCATCCTGTTGCTTTTCCACCTGTGAATCACTAGTCTGCACTGTCCTTTCTGGGCTAAAAATAAATTAAAAAACAAAAAAAACAAAAACTGCTTTCTTATATAGAAGCCAAACTTCGTTACTATTTTATCCTTTTTTCCTCCACCCAAAGTTATTCATGTTTTTAATCATTTCCTTTTGAAGTCTGTCTCTCTTGGATTTGAACTATTAAATTTCAAGCATTTGCTCATATCTAATGCATATCAGGTCCTGGACACTTTCATGTACGTTTTCTCATTGAATCTTTCCAAGCTTTTGTAATTTCTTTTTTTTTTTTTTTAAGATTTATTTATTTATTTATTTGTTTATTTATTTATTCAAGCAGTGGGTACAGTCAGAAGCGCAGGAGGGTGAGAGAATTCACCAGAGCCAGAGCGGAGAACATAACAGGCAGACTGACGAAGTACACTGCTGAGGGGAGCAGTGGGCGGCAGGCGGCAGAGAGGTCTACGCACCATGTGGGACCCTCACCGGTGGCCGGGGATCGAACCAGCACTGCAGAGGCTTCAGGCAGCTTCGCAACCCAGCGCTCAACCGCTGCGCCACCGGGGAGGCCCCTTTTGCAATTTCTTATTATGAAAATGTTCAAACATGTAGAAAGTAGAGAGGACAGTATATAATAAGCCCAATATTCCATTTCCCAACAATGATTAAAAAATATGAATACCTCTGGGTGGAGGAAGAAAAGGATAAATTAGTAAAGAAGTTTGGATTCTATAGAAGAAAGCAGGGTTTTTTTTATAAATTTATTTTTAGCCCAGAAAGGACAGCACAAGAATTATCATCTAGCTGCCCACTCATTTCTCCCACTCCAAAAAAACTGGATTATTTAAAAGCAAATTTCAGACATCATAATTCCATCTGTAAATACTTCAATGTCTACCTCTAAGAGAAAAATCAGAATGCCATTAGCTGGTCTAAAAATCAACTGATAACAATTCCTTGATAAACCTGTCAGTGTTCAAATGCCCTGATTTCTCCAGATCTTTTTAATAGTAACATATTTTGATGAGGAATGTGATACTCACAGAATTAATCATTTCCTAGGCCACATACTTGGTACATCACAGGAGAACATCAGGTTTCTCACTTGAAGTCTTGGTTTTCTTTACTTACAGCACAGCTGTCTATTTATAATATTCAGAAGGGAGCAGATATAAATCTTTCTAAATTATCTTTACAAAAGAGGCCTTCTTGCTTTTTGAATAATTTAATTCCAGTTATTCTCAGTGTTTGAGATCTGAGGTGGTTTTACTACAGTTTTAATCATGCACGGCCCAATATCACAAAGTAGGTGAAGGGATAAGAAGCTAAGGAAGTAAACATTGTACAGTGTCTATTATGATCTAGCATCTACAATAACTGATACTGAGGTCTCTTCAGAAGTCACCACTGTTGGAATAAAACGATGATGATGATGATGATGATATGACAACAACAATGGGCTTCAACCAAGGAGAGACAAAATGCGTCCTCGCTGGATAAATGAAGGATGATAAAGATGTTTACAAAAAGTTTTATAAGTTTTAGGAGAAAAAGCATATCATCAAACTGCACAGGTCAATCCTGAAAAGGTAAATGGGTTATGAGACTAAATCCCTAAGGAACTCCATTTCAATACCCGATACCTTATGAGATAAAATAAATTAAAATTTAAACTATGTTACCATCACAAACAATGGTCTATACATTTCCAGAATGTTTTAAAAAACAGATATAATTGTAAAGGATCTCTTTCTAAAATCTTAAGTAAAAATACTTTGGGGGATTTTAAAAAAACATAACAATGAAATAGGGAGCTGCTTGAAAATAATCTTTAAAAGTTACAGAACACAAATCAAAAAAGAAACAAAATAGATTCCTTTATACTGACCTTAAAAAATATTGTTCTAAGCTCAGCTGGATCTGCTCTCTTGGTTAAAGCCACCTATAAATAAACATAAAAATGTTTATATTATTAGAACAAAGCTGAAAAATCAAGCTAGCAGACTGAAAGAAAATAAACTCCAGGTTAGAAATTAGTGGATTTCGTTTTTGTACCTAACGCACCAAATTTCCCCAGTGCATAACCTACTCCCTGGATTTTAAATTAGACTCCTTATGTGGCTTCTGGAATGATAACATTCAATGCATGAAACCAGTAAAGCTCCTAATCTGGCTTAATATATATCTTTTTTTTTTTTCAAAAAAAAGAAAAAGAAGTAGAAAAAGAAAGAAAAGTTGAAACAGATTTGTAACCACATGGCACTTTTTCACTATACTCTAGGGTGACCCATACCCTTTCACAGGGGAATATTGAATATTAAGTACAATTTGCTTGTTAACTGTATAAGAGAACACAATTCTTAAAGGAGTTAAGTGAACAAGGCAAATCATATTAACAAACAGAAGGGAATTACTTCCAACAGCTCCACCATGAAGAGGTATGAATGCTTAATTATCCGGGCATGCCCAGTGCAGTGTCCACTTCTTCCTGACTTATAACTTAAGAAATTAGAAGTCTCCAAAGGTATGACTATTATTCCCCCCATTCTAGAAATACAAGGGACTGTGGTTACCTTCCAAGAGCAAAATTTGACAGATTAGCTCAGAATAGGTGTTATGCTTAATTCTCCAGCCCACAAAGTCCAAAAACATCACTGGGGAAAAAGCAAGGCAAACTTGAACATGGCTGCCCCAGGCCAACACAAAAGAGTCCTTATGTGGAACCAAACAGTGGGCTTATTCACCATCTCATCACCCAATCCTGCTGGCAAAAACCGTCATGAGACTGAATTCTCACCAAGCACAGCGTCACCCCCGATACAGCCAAGAAGGGGTTCCTGGAACCACCCCAACACTGGAGCCATGTCCCTATCCATGGGGAGATTTATGCAAATTGTTCTAAATCCCTCCATGTTTGCAAAGGCTCTTCTGAGATCTTTGGACAATGTGTTCTCTGTGTCTATATATGGAACTGCCTGAGCTCCTTGGCTTGCCACTGTCAGGAATAATTTTATTAACTTGTCACTGCAATGGGGTATCCTTTCTGAGACCAGTTGGTGGTCACCTTGTTCCCAAAACAGGACTGATAACTCTTCTAATCATAGTTGAGTGCTTATAACTACCAATGCTATTTATAGCCATGAAAAATTTTTAATCTTTTTAAAAACCTGAATTAGTGTTCTTTGCTGTTCAATTAAACAGGAAAAAACAGACTGCCATCTGACCTAAGACTGATGATAGTGATGGCCTAAAGTTTTCAGGAGATGATTCCCTCCTTACAGGTCTATATTCTGAGAAAAGTGGGGTGAACACTACTGGGGAACACAAGCCAGCATAAAAATGCCACCATCCTCTTCCACCCAAGTTCCACACCTCAAGACGCTACATAAATAACTTCTTTTTTAAGGCATATATGGTGACCCCAGATTATTAGCTGGTTTTCCTTTTAAAAGCGAAGGAATGTTTCCACAAAGTAAACTATTCTTATTCTATCTGAATACCACATCCTTTAAAATCTAATTAATTCACTATGCCATGCACTTCATAAAGCCTTCCTGAGCAAGTTCACTATTTCAGAGTGAACTTTCCCTGCCCTACTTCCCACAGCATTCTTCTACTACTATTTTACTGTGGCTAAAATGCACATTCAATGCTCACCACCGGGACGATACTCAGAGAGAAACAAAGCTTTCACTTTGTTAACTCACCCAGGGTCCAGGGCACAGAAGAAAAAAATCCATACAGTGAACTGACACATATAACTCATATCACCTAATATGTATAAAACACTTTACATTTTTCAAAGCATGTCTATTACCTCACTGGATCCCCACTGCAAATCTGAGTCACATGTAGAAATGAGTGTTGCCCCTAATTTACAGGAGGGGAAACTAAGGCTCAGAGGGATCAACTATTTCCCTAGAAGTGCTTACATTTCTATGGGTTTGAGAGCAGATCCCATATCTTCTATCTTCTACCCTGTTACCTTTTCTTTTTTTCTTTTTTAAAAGATTTTATTTATTTATTTATACAAGCACTGGGTACAGTCAGAAGCACGGGAGGATGAGAGAATTCACCAGAGCCAGAGCGGGGAGCAGAACAGGCAGAGTGACGAAATATACTGCTGAGGGGAGCAGTGGGCAGCAGGAAAGGTCTGCGTGCCATGTGGGACCCTCGCCGGGGGCTGGGGATCTAACCAGCGCTGCAGAGGCTGCAGGCAGCTTCGCAGCCCAGCGCTCAACCTCTGCACCACCAGGGGAGGCCCTACCCTGTTACCTTTTCACTGAGTCATATTATTGGCAGCTTCAAAGTGGCCATAATTAATATAATATAGGTTATGTCTAGAAATCAAGAAGATCCCAATTTCTTCTAACAAAACCAGTTTATTATGTCCATGCAGTGCTGTGTTTAAGAACACAGCTTTACTATCACAGACTGCCCTCAACTGGGAAGCAGGCCTAACCTCCAAACTCACTGGCTGTGCAACCCTGAGTTGGTCCCAGACCTCTCAAACTCATTTTCCTTATCTATAAAATGGGAAGTCCTGGATGGTTGCAACATGCCAGGGATAATCATACAAAGTGCTTAGCACCAAAGAGGGACACAGTTAAAGCTCTCAAACAATGTTATTTGTTACTTGTATTATTTATTGAAAGGTCTATCTTTTTAATTCCTAAAAAATTCTAAATGAAGAGTAACCTGGCTTATAAACTTAAAGGACAATCTTACCATCTTATCATTATTTACCTGAATTTGCATTTATATGAACAGGTTCCACCCAAAAGCAAAATTTTTATATCAACAGTATTACATAAAGTAGCTGGTTTCCAAGCATAACTGGGTACTATATCACCAAGAAGGAAAAGGTTTCTTTGCAGATGATTATGAAATATTCCTATTTGCAATTTAATCAACACAACAATTTTACAATCAGATAACATTTACTCCAAGCTAAGCTTAACAGAAATAGACAGGAAATGGGGTTAGAATTGGAAAAACTACACATTATATACTTTGTCCATACAGTGGAAACATCTACCTTTATTTAACTTTAGTATGGAATTTTCAGGCCAATTCCATAAATCTATGCTTCAAATGGCAACATCTAAGGATCTATGAATATGTAAAATTTTTGACAAGGCAAACATTAGATATAATAGCTTAAATAAGTTATCAGTAGTATTTACAAAACATATATACTAACGAGGTAGAGGCAATAAATAAAAACAACAACAAAACTTCAATGAATGGTTTTAAAAGAGAGTTAGGGAGATGAGTGGCAAGGAGAACAGAAAATTATCTTTTGGAACAAATAAATTCACTCTCATTTAATGCACTAGTGCAGCCAAAGATAGGAGGGCCCCAGAAAAGATATTCAACATGTAGGTTTATTTTAAAAACAGTTTTCTTACATAGGAAACTAGCTGAAGCTATAAGTTCAATAATTTAATTGCAGTTTTACAGAACTATATAATCAAAGTGCTTGCTAGTCTACCAAGGGCAGTGGGGACATACATACACAAGAAAACCTATATTAAACCTATATAAAATATAAAATAAATAAGGATACTAACTTGAGGAAGAAAATACAAAGAAAAGCTTTCACACTGGGAAGCTCTGGAGAGGCAAGACCATGATATCCTTGAAGATATCTGAGTCTTCTATATTCCCAGCTCCGGCAAAGATCGGAAATGCTCCCAAAATGTTAATTAAAGAAGAAGGTCTTCCAAGTAAACAAAAATCAGATCTTCACAATGAAAATAAGTAGCTTCCTTTAAACCAGTAGTTTTCAGTGTGTGGTTACTGCATCATCAGCATCATCTGGGCACTTCTAGAAATACAAATTATCACATCCACATATTGAATCAGAAACAGCAATCTAGAGCTAACAAGTTCTCCAGGTGATCCTGATACTATTAAAATTTAAGAACCACAGTGCTAGCTAATGTCCACATATATCTGATTATGACTGAGGTTCTCAGCTCCAGTCGCACACTAGAGTCACCTGAGAAGTCCTGAAGTTTTATCAATACCAAGATCAGTCATATTAGAATGCAAAGGCCAAGTGAATTAGAATCTCTGGAACAGCTTTCTTTAAAGGTCCATCATGAAGTTATAATGTTTGGCTGGTTTGAGAACTACTGGGTTAGAGCCCAAGGTCCCACCCTCAGCGGACACTTGACCAACTGTACAACACAGACTTCACTCAGTAGTATTTCCCCATCACCCTTCCAAACCTGAATGGTTTGAAAGCCAAGACAAGCACTGGCTTACCCTGAAAAATTTTACTGTCATGATATAATTACTAATATTAGTTATGAAAGAAAAACCAGAAGTAGCAGCTCATGAAAAGCAGATATGATGTGTGGGTGTGGGTGCGCATGTGTGTGCATATGTGTGTGTGTGTGCATGCAGAGACAGCAAACACAGGAAGGAGAAGGAGAAATGTTCCTGTATGGCCCTTGCACCTGAGAAAGTATAGTAGGTGGACCTGAAGTTCAGTGGAAAGCGCTACGCAATAAAACCTAACAACTTAGACACCAAGGCAAACCTCTCTTCCTAGTTATTGTCCTATACTACAGAGACCATAAAGTCAAACCTATATTTCCCAGACTCCCTTGCAGCTATGTGGCCTGGATGCTATCAATTAAATGAGGTTGTGTGAGATTTGGAAAGCAAAATTTTGGTAGGAAAGATTTGGAAGCTGAGAACTGAGTTTCTGCTGTTTCTGCCAGCAAGCATTATCATTGGAAGTGTCCGATTTTCCTGTGGCAACCCCCTGCCTGTGTCATTTGGCAGGAAGATTCATGACTCTATAAGAGACAACTGCTCTCTTGGTGGCCTGTTCTGCTGTGAGGTTCTGGAAATCATTCCTGAGAGCCCAAACTAAAGTCTGTTTCTTCACTTTCCCAACAAATTCTGAAAGCCATTTAATACCCTGTA